GCATGGCGAACCATGCTGCCGCCCGACAATTACAAATGACCACTATGATCACCTTTATGAAATCCAAGGAAAACAAGCATAAAGTGCTGGTGAATATATTGTACAAAAATAGAGGCGCAAACTTGTTTAATGAAATTAATGATATAGGTCTTTTTTTTTTTTTTTTTTAAGAGTAGGGGACGAGTTGGTTTTAAGAAGAGGAGAGAGGGAAGAAAAAAATTTGAACCTAAAACCTTTAATTCTTGATTTCAATTTTAATGACTAGATCAAAACTTTTCTAATCTTTTTCTTTTCTTTTTTGATAATAAGCAAATCTCATTAACAAAATTGATGAAAATTGTCCAGCCCGATTTAATTTACATAATAGAAATATGCACTAATGACAAAATAAGCATGCACAAGAAATAACGAATTTGCAGTTTGACAAATACAAAAATCTAAAAAATTATGAACAGATTTCATAAATACTTTTCCAATAAAGTAAATCACTGCTGTCGCTTCCGTGCATGTTGCAATCATCAAATTTATTAAGCAACTATTTCGTACTCTAATAATGAAAATGAAATATGTCGAAATAGATCCAAGATCTAAAAAAATTTCATATCTAATAACTAGAACTAACTACAAAAATCTCACTAGTTTTTCTCAAGAGAATAGAGAATTCTCACAAGGAACCTTTAGCAGAAATAGATAACTCTCACTAAAAAAAATTTAGAAGAGATTTTATTTAAAAAAAAAAGAAAGTAAAAACGGAATCTATGGGAGAAAAACCACCTTGGCCTTCCTCTTGAAAACAATGGTCTTTTGAGAAGAGAAGAAAAAATAGAGAAAAATTGGAGAAGAGAAGAGATAGATAGAACCTACAACTTTCTTGCCTTTTAAATTGTTATTTATTTTAACAAATTCAAAAATGTATGCAAATTTGGGTTATTTATTTCTTATAGCCAATTAGCCAAATTCAAACAACCTATTATCAAGTCAAATTTGAGCAATCTGGATTTTGTCTGTGTAGACCAAATTTTGTACTAATTGAATCAAACTTGAGTCAAAGTCAAAGTTTCAATGAATACTAATGTGAATACAAGCTTACTGGCTTGATTCAAAATAGAGTAACTTGATTCGTATTTTAACCCTAATCAAGTGATAGAATATTAGCAGGATTAATTGCAATACGTGCCATTGAAATATCATCAATTGCCACAATCCCTTAAATTCACAATTTGAAAAGTCTGGAATCTTACATCATCAGCATGTTATACATCACTTGTAATTGAGAAAAATATAATATGCGAATTTTACTCTAAATAAACTATATTCCCCAATTAGCCCACCTTGGTTCATATTCCCTTTGTAATACAAGATCCTTTCTCCTGCCGACTCTAACCAATCAGGTTCTTCTATCTCAATGATGCTTGAAATGTTTGCATAATTATAGGGTATTTTGGGTCAGAAACAAGAAAGTTTTATCACGATTTATTAAATGTTTAAAAAATTAGTAATAACGTTGTAAAGTGATAAAAAGGGATACTTGAAGGGAGCGATGGAGAAAGAATTATAGGTCAAGGGGGCACTTTGCAATCAGGCTCTATTTTCAGTTCTCAATTACTTTCTGTGCTTCCCCCTAACAAATTTATTTAAACAGAAAAAAAATGCAAATTTCAATTATTGTTAGTCAATAAGCATTAACTCTAGAAGAGAAGCACAGTTTGAGAGTTCTATGGACTTACAAGTTGCAACATGATATGCTTGCAGAAAATAACTTAACAGGTCTAGTAAACACAAGTAATGGTCTTCTTTTTTTCCTGCTGAAAATTGTAGTAAATAAAAAGTGTAAAACAATAAAATTAAAGTTTACTTATCAAAATTATTACTAAGATCTTTACAGCAATCTTCTTTGATTATGGTTAAATTAAACATCATCATAACAATTTGTCATACAACACTTTACAATGAATATATAAAGTCTTTTTTTAATGCAAAGTGAATTACTCAATGTGAGACAAATAAAGTCTGTCTTTTTATCATTTCAATGGATAGATCAATGGAAGCCTTCTTCTTTTTTATTTTTTTTCTTCCGAGTATTCACATTTGAGGAGATTCAAAGTGTGACACTATCAAACTAGTATTGTCCGAAATGTGTCAACCATTGCAATCATATGCTAAACAATTCGTTTTGTACATACAAATCTCACTCAAGCTGTAGTTTATTCTGGTTAATGCTTTAGTAAAATGACAACTTTCTTTGCATTCATCATGACAACTTTTTTATTTCGAAAAGCATAAGGGACATATGAGAAAGTCATTTCGTGATTACTTTTGTTCGTATTACCAGGTTTTAAAAAAAAAAATCGTAAATTGCAATTTACACACCGACATTAGCAACTTTTTTCAAAGAAATTAATCCATCTTATTATCTATGGAACAAATAAAAGCCACATATTAGTGTCAATATCGTCCTGTGCTGGTACATGGGTTCTTGTCAAACCGCCTTCAACCCATGTTTTGCTCAAATCCAAGTTCCTGATGCTAAAATTTGTTCAATTTTGCAATGTGCACGTAACACTCGAACTAGAGAGGTCCACTACTCATTGGAATCAATCAATAGCTCTAATTGAAATATTTCTTTAAATTCGCCCTAAAACTTGAAGTATTCAAGCCTTAGTATAGTTAGGGCTTTATCCTTGGGGGACTCTTCCACACTTAAAAGAGAGAGAATAGTCTAAAACTCGGGATACTATTACATTACAAAAGTGTAGAGTGATTGAGCTAAACTTGTCATTAACCGTTTTAAACTGTCAAAGAATTGAGAATTTCATCTCAAAGCCAATTAATAGTGAGTAGTGATATCTGAAATCTCTATTAATCTTTTTTATAAAAGCAAATTTCGTTAACAAATTGCTGAAAATTGTCCAGCAAATTTAATCTACGTCACTACTCTAATGGTAGGTTAAATATGTATTAGAAATTACAAATCTGCAACTTAACAGATACGATAGAATCAAAAAATTATGAACAAATCTAAAAAATACAAAAAACTTTAAAGTTATCTTCTAATAGATAGATCGCTGCAACTCTTTCTGTGCATGTTGTAATTACCAGATCTATTGACTAATGGTTTTAAACTCCAACAGTGATGATGATAAAATCTGTTGAAATAAATCCAAGATCCAAAAAAATTTCAGATCGGACAACTAAATCTGAAATAAATTCAAATTTAACAACAAAAAAATGAAAAAAAGAAACACAAAATCTCCATAGGAATTCCTAAGAGCATAGAAAATTCTCACTAGAAATGTCTAAAAGAAACAGAAAACTTTCGCTAAGAAGACTTATGAGAGACTGTATTAGAAAATAAAGGAAAATGAGATTCATGGAGTGGTCTCCCTCCCAAAAGGAAGGCTTTTGAAAAGAGGAAAAGTAGAGAGAAGTTGGAGAAGATGATTAATTAGTTTAGTTGGTCTAGACCGCTGTGGGATTAGCTTGTTTAATGTCCTCATCGCACGTCACTCAGACTGAAAAGATCGCATGGACTAGATTTGGAAGATAGAGTCCAACAGTCAAGAATAGAGCCAATATTATGCCAAGGAATTAAAGAATTATCATGGTAGATATCTGTGAAGGCAAACTCAACGAACAGAAGAGTCCTCGTCATTTGTGCATGAGCGATGCACAAAGCTTTATACCATGTTGAAAAACCTACACTCCCATTTAAAGCTTCTTGATTGTAGTTTAGAATGGGATAGAGGTTAATTCTTTCACCTGTATGGTCATTTGATCACGTTCCCGTCATGGCAAATTTCAAAATCAGAAGAGTTTTCACCGGACAAGGGTTTTTTTGAATGGCACACACCACACATGAAAAAGAACTTGAAAACTGAATGTCCAAATTACAAACAGAAGGACAAAAGTAACTTTTTAAGAAAAAAAGGAGGGGTTTTGTTCAAGTTCTATCTTTTGAATCAAACTATTACTTGCAATTTGTAAGTAGGATTAAGTGTTGTAGCTTAGTATGCCATGATCTGACCTTAGAATGTCTCTTCATTGTCGTTGTGCTTGTGTAACCTTTTATTCGTCTATGAATTATTCTAGCTATTGTAAATTGCCAACAAAACGAAAAACTAAACAACAAAAATATTGAATAACAAAGTACGAATATGGTAGCACATGGTAAGGCCATGTCTGGATTCAGTATTCAGTCTTGCGAGTTGTATGTATCCAAAACCAATTGACAAAATGTATCGTCTCTCTGTACGTTTCTTGTTCTAAGCAAATATTATCAATTTTAGTAATTTTCTTTCACCTTTCCACAATTTCCTCGCAAGCAAACATTCTTTTAGGGGTTACTAGTGGCCACCTAGCTAATCCCAGTAGGTGCATCAAACATTTTATCCTAACCGTTTAACATTTTTTTTTCAGCCAACGTACAATATGTTTGTCCCAATAATTCTCGCAAAGACCCAATCCATGGCATCACTGGTGAAGCACATGGCCAAACAACCAACAACAATGATTAATGATACTCATAAGGCCTCTTGTGCGACCAGGGGTCCAGATGAGTTAATAGATGTTTCTTAATTGTGGTTTGTTAGGACCAGGCCAGGAAATAGACAAATTCAAGTTAGCACAAAGTAGGCGGTATAACCGACCATATAATAGATAGGCGGTAGATACCAGCCATATAATAATTAGGCGGTAAAACCGACCATATAAAGACGGATAACAAAGCAAATAAAAGACACAGAAGATTTACGTGGTTCGGTCAAATTGACCTACGTCCACGGGCGAGGGAGGAGCAATATTTCTACTATGAAGAAGAAATACAAAAGCCGTAGGAAAGTGGTTCCTAGGCCAATAGGCACTTACTAAAGAGTTTAGAAAATATTTCTAAACTCAAAACAAGAGAGCCTAAAATATTTAACTGAATGGGTTAAATGACTCAAGAAGCTAATAGCCCATATAACTCTCTTGAGTGGTGCGATTGAAACCTTCATATGAGCTCCCTATTTATAGTTGTATTTGGGAGGCTTTCCTTCTGCTTCAGGCGATGTGGGATGAGGAAATTCTGCCACAGTCAAGGATTGCGGCTCAACAAATCTCCACCTTGGCATAATTTTGAGTCCCACCATCGTCAATAGTAAAATCGCTCCACCTTCTCCACATAAGACCCAATGGTCTAAATCACAAACAACGAACACCAACCAAGTCCAAGCACTGCTTGAACTTGTAATTTGGAAGAGGTTTCGTAAACATATCGGCTGGATTATCCTTAGTATTGATTTTCTGAATAAGAACTTTTCCCTCAGCAATGATATCCCGAATGAAGTGATACTTCACATCAATGTGTTTCGTCCTCTCATGATACATCTGATCTTTAGTCAAGTGTATGGCACTTTGACTATCACAGTGAATATCAGTAACACCTTGATATAGACTTAACTCGCTAAATAAACTCTTCAACCACAAGGCTTCTTTGATTGCCTCGGTCACAGCCATATATTCTGCTTCTGTAGTAGACAAAGCTACGACAGGTTGTAGAGTAGCTTTCCAACTAACAGCACAACTGCCAATGCAAAATACATAGCCTGAAAGTGATCTTCTCCTGTCAAGATCTCCAGCGTAGTCTGAGTCTACAAAACCAACCAAAGTATTATTATTTCTTCCAAACTCCAAACATGCATTTGAAGTACCTCGCAAGTATCTGAGAATCCACTTCACAGCCTGCCAATGTGTTTTACCAGGGCAAGACATATATCTGCTAACAACACTGACTGCTTGTGCAATATCTGGACGAGTACAAACCATTGCATACATAATACTGCCGACTGCACTGGAATAAGGAACCCGTGCCATATAATCTTCCTCTTCATCTGATTTTGGTGATTGAGCAGCAGATAGCCGAAAATGGCTAGCAAGAGGAGTAGATACTGATTTAGCATCTTTCATGCCAAAACGCTCCAAGACTTTCTCAAGGTAATTTTTCTGGGTCAAGAACAACTTCCCTACTCCTCGATCTCGATTGATATCCATGCCAAGAATTTTCTTAGCTGCTCCCAAATCTTTCATTTCAAATTCACTATTTAACTGCAGTTTCAAGGTGTGAATTTCTGACAAATTCTTGGCAGCAATGAGCATGTCATCAACATAAAGCAGCAAATAAATGAAAGAACCATCATTTAACTTCCGGAAGTAAACACAACTATCATACATGCTCCTCAAATAACCATGACCCAACATAAAGGAATCAAACCTTTTATACCATTGTCTTGGAGACTGCTTCAATCCATATAAGGATTTCTTCAACAAGCAAACATGGTCTTCCTTACCTTCAATTTCAAAACCCTGGGGTTGTCTCATATAAATTTGTTCTTCAAGTTCGCCATGTAAGAAAGCTGTCTTAACATCAAGCTGCTCTAACTCCAAATCATACATGGCAACTAAAGCAAGCAAAACACGAATAGAGCTATGTTTAACAACAGGTGAGAATATATCATTAAAATCAACACCTTGTACCTGACTATAGCCCTTTGCAACCAATCGTGCTTTATATCTTGCATCTTCAACCCCTGGAATACCTTCCTTTTTCTTGAAGACCCACTTGCAACCAACAATTTTCTTAGCTGACGGCGGCTTTACAAGAACCCAAGTTTCATTCTGATGAAGAGATTCAATTTCTTCATTCATCGCAATCAACCACTTTGCAGAATCATCACAAGAAACTGCTTCTGAATAGGTGGAAGGCTCACCAACTGCATCAGTTTCTTCTGCAACAGACAAAGCATATGCAACTAAATTTGCATATCTTTGTGGTGGTCGAATATCTCTCCTTGCTCTATCTCTGGCTATGGAATACTCCTCTTCTTCTGAACTATCTTCAATAGTAGATTCAGGTGTATCTACTGGCACTTGTTGAATAGAAGATTTGGATTGAGAAGGACCAGAACTGCCAATATCAAGCTCCACCTGCTTCTGTGTACTATCAGTAGTACAAGGACTAGAAGACTCCTTCTTGGAAGATAACATAGACAATTCATCAAAAGTAACATCTCTACTGATTACAAATTTTGGGGATTTGGGATCAGGACACCATAATCTGTATCCTTTCACCCCAGAAGCATACCCAAGAAAAATGCACTTTTTAGCCCTAGGCTCCAATTTTCCATCATTCACGTGCATGTATGCTGGACACCCAAAAACTTTTAAATTGGAGTAATCAGCAGGAGTACCTGACCAAACTTCCTCAGGAGTTTTGAAATCAAGAGATGCAGAAGGAGAACGGTTGACAATATAACAGGCCATATTGATCGCCTCTGCCCAAAAGTCGTTTGTCAACTCTGCATTGGAGATCATACATCTTGCTCTCTCCAAAAGAGTTCTGTTCATACGTTCGGCCACACCATTTTGTTGAGGCGTCATCCTGACGGTGTGATGCCGAACAATTCCTTCATTTTTGCAAAATTCATTAAATTCACCTCCACAAAATTCCATGCCATTATCTGTTCTCAACCGCTTAACATTTTTCCTGTTTGTTTCTCAATCAAAACTTTCCATTGCTTGAAAGTTAGGAAAACATCATTTTTGTGCTTAAGAAAATAGACCCAAACTTTCCTTGAATAGTCATCAATGAAAGTCAACATGTACCTGGCACCACCTTTAGAAGGAGCACGAGAAGGACCCCATAGATCTGAATGAATGTAATCAAGAGTACCTTTTGTCTTGTGAATTGCTGGTGAACTGAAGCTGACTCTTTTCTGCTTCCCAAAAATACAATGTTCACAAAATTCCAATGGACCGGTACTTTGTCCACACAGAAGTCCTCTTTTGCTCAGTATGCCCAAGCCTTTTTCGCTCATGTGCCCCAAACGCATATGCCATAATTTGGTGATGTCTGTATCTGACAAAGATGATGTTGAAACAGCAGCAGCACCTGTCACAGTAGATCCCTGCAAAATATACAAAGTACCAGATCTGTGTGCCTTCATAACAACAAGAGCTCCTCGAGTGATTTTAAGAACTCCGTCTCCACCTGAATACCTGCACCCGATAGACTCAAGAGTGCCCAAAGAGATGAGATTTTTCTTCAAATCTGGAACATGTCTAACATTTGTGAGCGTCCTCACAATACCATCGTACATTTTAATCCGGATTGTGCCTTTGCCAACAACTTTACAAACAGCGTTGTTGCCCATTAAGACAACTCCACCTTCAGTTGATTCATATGTTGAAAACCAGTCCTTATTGGGACACATATGATATGAACAACCCGAATCTAAAATCCACTCATTGTTAGACCTAAAATTATTTTCCGTTGCACAGAAAATGGTTCCATCATTCTCATCAGCTGCTATACTAGCTTCAGCGGATTCAGTATTTCTCTCAACAAATTTCCCCTTTTACTTTTCTTTATTTTTCAATTTAAAGCAATCAGAGATAACATGGCCCTTTTTTTTACAATAATTGCACACCACATTTTTATGTCTGGACTTGGATCTACTTCTCTTTTCAGATCTACCCCGAACAAACAAGCCATCGGCTTGACTCCCACTAGTTTCCCCAGTAATATCCCTATCTATCTGCTCTTTAGATTTTAATGCAGATTTAATTTTCCGATACGAAATTGTTTCCTTTCCATATATCATAGTATCACGGAAATGTGTAAAGGACTGAGGAAGGGAACATAAAAGTAAAAGGGCCTGATCTTCATCATCAATTTTCGAATCTATATTCTCCAAATCCATAATAATGGAATCAAATTTATCAAGATGGGAGAGTATAGATGTACCTTCAGACATCCGAAGCATGTACAAACTCTTCTTCAAATATAGCCGATTCTCGACTGTCTTCTTCATATACAAGGCTTTCAATTTATCCCACATAGCCTTGGCCGAAGTCTCCGTTGCTACCTCACGCAATACCTCGTCGGAGAGATTTAGGATAATATTGGATCTTGCCTTCTTATCCATCTCAGTAAAATTTGCATCTGTCACATCTTCTGGCTTTTTCTCAATTCCTTGAATTGCCAAATCAACTCCGTCTTGAACAAGAATGGCCTCCATCTTGAGCTGCCACATGCCGAAGTTGACATTCCTGTCGAATTTCTCGACAACCGTCTTTGTTATCGTCATTGTTGCCACAAAATCTATAACCTGAAGTTTGTCTCAAAAAACTGGCCAAACAAATATGCAAGTCTCGTGAGCGGACCCCACAGGATGAGCGGACCCCACGAGATAAGCGGGCCCCACAGGAATGAACGGACCCCACAAGGTGAGCGGGCCCCACGGATAAACGGACCCCACAGGATGAGTGGGCCCCGCAGGATGGACGGACCCCACCAGATGAACGGGCCCCACCAGATGAACCTGTCTTGCAAAATATAACAACCAACTCTGATACCAGTTTGTTAGGACCGGGCCAGGAAATAGACAAATTCAAGTTAGCACAAAGTAGGCGGTATAACCGACCATATAATAGATAGGCGGTAGATACCAGCCATATAATAATTAGACGGTAAAACCGACCATATAAAGACGGATAACAAAGCAAATAAAAGACACAGAAGATTTACGTGGTTCGGTCAAATTGACCTACGTCCACGGGCGAGGGAGGAGCAATATTTCTACTATGAAGAAGAAATACAAAAGCCGTAGGAAAGTGGTTCCTAGGCCAATAGGCACTTACTAAAGAGTTTAGAAAATATTCCTAAACTCAAAACAAGAGAGCCTAAAATATTTAACTGAATGGGCTAAATGACTCAAGAAACTAATAGCCCATATCACTCTCTTGAGTGGTGCGATTGAAACCTTCATATGAGCCCCCTATTTATAGTTGTATTTGGGAGGCTTTCCTTCTGCTTCAGGCGATGTGGGATGAGGAAATTCTGCCACAGTCAAGGATTGCGGCTCAACATGGTTGTACACCGTCTAGGTATTGTTTTAAAGTCATTAAAATTCAAAATGAATTTTAAAGGATGCTATATAAGAAAGAAACTCAAAATTTTGGGTACAGAGTTTCCTTTGTTGCTTTTGATGCAATAAAAAAAATGCTTAAGCATGAAATTCTGGGATTTACCAATAGATTATGCTATAAGTATAACTTTGTATAACAAGACCCCAAATAAAAAATTGATTTAAAGGGAAATCACAAATGTTTATATGTGATATAATTGTGATTCAAACGATTTTGAATGTTGGAATTTGTTCAAGAATTGTATGGTTGCTCTTTTTGGAGTAAAAATGAGATAACAAAATAAGTTCTCTTATTTTGGTAGAATCATGAAAAATTTTGAATCCCATCATGTCCCTGGAGTACATGACTTGATCATTTTCATATATAAACTAATTTATTTATTGGAGATTTGGAGAAAAAAATTGGAGGCAATATGTCGTTGCAATGTCCCTCAAGTATAATAAAAGAGAGTATTTTCACTGTAGCAAGCCCTTCTTTTGATAAGTGGCTTGCTGTTTGTTTGACACTTGGCACAAGAAATTTTATTCTATTTTAGTGGACTTCATGTTTTTCTTATCTAAGAGGCCCAATTGAAATCAGCATTGTTTATGTCTTGTGTGGCCCATTAGATGGCAAGGAGTTAAGATAGAGCAAGGAACCAACAGGTTTGAAAAAAAAAAGAAAAGGAACCAACGAAGTCGTATCTCTTCTTCTTCTTCTTCTTCTATAGCTAGTTTGGGAGTTTAGAATAGAAAAGAAAAGAAGGGAAAGGATAAGTTAGGAAAGAAAAAAAGGATCAAAGTTTTTATCTAAGTTGTTTGAGAGTTTTAAGAAAGAAAAGAAAATAAGTAGTTTTTTTTTTGTTTGAGAGTTGAATACAAATGAAAAGAAAAGATACTCAAACAAATTACTTTACAAATATGCCCTTTCTATGAAGAAATGTGAATTAAGCAAATTAATGTAGATTTGGTCATATGCTACAATCTATTGAAAACTATAGAGTAAAAGATGTAAATTACTTATGTCAAGAACTTTAGATCATGTAGGTCCAATTGATACAAGTTAACAATTACTACAACCACACAACAAAATATTAACATTCATATGGTTCCATTTCATCATCACAACTGGTAAGGCCAATAGAGTTATGTTTACAACTTCCATATCAGTACATCCTAATACAAAAAAGTAGAATCCAAGTTCCATATCCCAAAGGCAAAAATAAAGGGATCTACATAATTACAAAAGATATTTTGCATGCTTTTACATCTTGATACCAAAAACTAAAAAGGCTTTTCTGCATGCCTTTATATCCTGATGCAAAAAATATAGCTAAAGCATGTTCTATTTCCAAAAGACCAAAACAGAGAGGATGTACAGGTGTCAACACAGCTCATTTTATATGTTCAAATGTGTTTCTATTTTCATCCAAATGGACTGAATGACGAAGACCATCCATTATTTTCCCAATATGCTGTTGCATCATTTTTCCCAATATGCTCTTGCGCCTTTCTGCTGGACAACCAAAAAATGCTCTTGATTTAGCATGGTTTTGAGTCAAAAAGAGATAGCAGTCATCAATAGAGTCCGCTTCAACTCCAATACTAGTTAGCTTCTTGTAAATCTCATTTTTAGTGTACAAGCGTTCTCTAGAATTTTGAAAAATAAAATTTCCCTCCCTTATTGCATCAACAATATTATCAAGTGCACATTTTATAATTTCAAGTTCTTCATCAACAACAG